GAACAAAGGATTCAACCCATCAGGCCCTGGAGATTTAAGTGGCCCCATATCAAACAAGGCATGCTTTATCTCCAGCTCTGTGACTTCAGCGTCCAATCTCTGCAACGAAGTCTCACTTAAGTTAGGGTAGGTGAACTCGAACCTCAAAGAGTGAGATGGGCTCCCTTCCTGCTGATACAACTTCTTAAAGTACTCGATTCCCACGTTCATAATCTTTTTTACATCATAGCACCACTCTCCGTTTTCAAGTCGAATTGCCTCCACTTTATTTCTCTTCCTTCTACTATTAGCCATAGAGTGGAAATAACGTGTATTACGGTCACCAAATGAGTACCAATTACACCTAGATTTCTGCAGCCACATAAGTTCCTCCTGTATAAGCAGCCTCTCTAGCTGTTTCCACTTCTCATCACGTTCAGCGAGCAACTTGCTATTAAAAGGGTCACGGGCAATGTCCCGTTCCAACCTTCCCATCGTACGAGTAATCTGCTCCTTTTGGTAGCCAATATGCCCAAATACTTCCTTCCCCCACTGTTTCACCTTAGTGGTAAATTCCGCTACTACCTCAGTCCAACTCAAACTGGTGTTCCAAGCTCCTTTCACGAAGTCTGAAAACTCCTCGTGGGTGACCCAAGGGGCAAAGAATCTGAATATATTCGATCTACTTCTTCTGTCGTTTACCTTCTCCAACGTTCTTAACAGCAGTGGCGTATGGTCCGATTTGAACTTCGGTAGATGCATGACACTAGAGCTCGGGAACTTCTGCCTCCATTCTTTGTTCATTAATGCCATGTCAATTCTGCTAAAACACCCGTTATTACTCCATGTGAACCGTGGGCCATAGAACTCCATCTCTGCCAATTCCAAGTCATCCACTAACCTTCTTAATTGCATATCTACTCCCATGGTGTTTATGTTTTTCGAAACTCGATCCCCGACATGTAACGTTGCATTAAAGTCCCCGATAATGCACCACGGCTTAGTGATATGAGTAGAAAAAGACCGAAGATCACTCTAAAGCCTATCCCGTATACATCTGTTCGGTTTCCCATACACAATCGTTAGGCATATTTCATTTGACGACCCAGCGTTAAAGATTCCATGCAACGCCTGCTCCGTCTTAGCTAGTACTTGAAAGTTAATAGTAGAGTCCCAGAAGCACCAAATGCCGCCACTGAATCCCTGGGCCTCAACCACTTCGCACTGTTCAAACTTCAAGCGTCTTGCCAATGCCCTTGCTTTTGAGCTCTGTTGTCGTGGTTCCAAAAGAGCCATAAATGCAACCCCATACTGCTTCTTGAAGTTTTGTAGTAGCCGAGGGAGAACTCGACCCCCAGCCCCTCTTACGTTCCACACAACACAATCCATAAAATCATTCGTCATGGGACCCGTAAAGCGCAACTCTAAACCTCAACAATCCATGGCCTCAACCGAGACCTCATGGTTAATGCCCAGAGCTTCATTTTCATCCGTCGTAGATAACGGGTTCTGCCTGACCATGAAACTTCTTCCTATTTCACTCCCCCGATCTCCTGGGTCATCAGGAATTGACGCCCCTAGTGCCATCATCATGGCGTTATGGGTAGGCGTACCAGGCTTTATTGGGGATCCTTGAACGAGGTCTCCCATCGTGCTGTCCTCTCCATTCATGTCCCCACGCTCCAGCCCACTGCTCAATCTCTGCCCTCCTTGCAAGTTCTCATTTAGGCCCAACTTTTCTTTGACCGACAAGTAGTGATCCATTTCCCCTGGTTGAGGGTCCGCCCTTCTCGTGATATTCGCTTTTGGGCCCAACCTTAATTCCACCGCCTTTTTCCTTAGCCCACTACCCTTTGTTTCATTGCGTCCTCCATTTGTGACTGTGTTGGTAATTTCCCCAAGTGTTGCTCGTACCTTCTTTGTGACCGGTTCAGTATTATTGCCCCACATAGAATCTTGGTTTAATATTGCAAATCGGGATCCCGAATTTTTCTCCCCGATATTTCTCCTAGTATCTCGCCTGCCATTACTCCCCCCAGAATCTCGGTTATTCCCCCTTCTTCCTCTGAACCGTTGCACGGTCATCCAATCACCGTATGGGCGGCCGTCTGTTGCCGGTTGAGATGTGGCCGGCCCTCCACTTTCTTTCTCACTTCCTCCCATCCCGTTCACGCTCGTCATGTCATGCCTACCTCCATCGTGGGAGGTCTTCCCATCGACCGACGCCGGTTGAGCTAGGTGATGACGCGGGCAATGATCTTTGTCGTGTCCATACCTCCCACAGGCAAAGCAGATAAGATGGATTCCCTCGTACTCCACCTTCTTTTCCTTTCCGTTCACAAGGAGAACAGGCAAAAGTGGTTTCTTCAGGTCCAGTTCGATACATAGCCTCGCAAACCTCCCTTTTGATTGCTTAGCGGTAGTTTTGTCCACTTTGATCACCTTCCCTATCTGACGTCCAAGGACATGTAGGAGACCCTCATCGTAGTAGTCTAAGGGAAGGCGGGAAATACGAACCCATGCAAGGATCCTATCAATAACCTCACTCTCGGGGTCGAAATCCTCCTTCCACGGTAACACAGCAAGATAATGGTCGAAAATTAGCCAAGGTCCTCCCGTTAACACGTAATCATAATCGTTCTTACTTTTGAAACGAACTGTATAGAATCCCGAACCCACATCGATCACGTCGATATTCTCCTCACTCACCCCCCAGATCCTCTGCAACTTCTCAACTAAATAGTCTTCCTTGATCATTCGGCCAAGCAACTTCACAATAACAGATCTCCTCCACTTCTTTCTCAGACGTTCCTTGGCTTCTGGTAAAATGATAACGTTCGGGCCTCGCTCCGTCTCCTCTACCCGTATCATTGATTCCCACTTCTTCCCATCCCACCATTCTTCTTCCTCACTCTCGTCCCCTCCTTCCGTATCCCCTCCCGTCTCATTTACACATGCTTCTTTGTAGGACAGCTTTTTCTGTTTCTTCCCGCTACCCTCTTCAGCCTCCGCCGCCAACGACTCCAGGTCACCTTCCTCCACACCCATCATCTCCCCTGCCATCCACTCCTCAACCCTAGGAACCATCGACAGGTCGTTAGAGAACTCACCCTCCACCTTCCTCACCTTCTTTCGACTCCGATCCATGGCATCGATTTCTTCTTTCGTCAATGGCCGTCGCTCCTCCTCCTCACCACTCGCCATCTTTTGCTAGGTAGACCGCGTCTTGCAAAATTGAATTTAACTTTACTCTAACTCTATAGTATTTAGTCAAATAAACACTATATATAAAGCATGCACTACTTATGCAACTTCTCATAGTAGTACTGTAATTGCATCTTGCAAGGTCAATAACAAGGCCAAAGCCAATGAGTGTGGATTGTAATTTATGGTTTAGTAACAAGTCAGTTTGAATACCCATTTGGTATTTGTAACCCAAAAATGTGACTTCAGGTTTAATATTTTGCCTCAAAATTAGCTTTTGAGCTTTTTTGAATTGGCTTTTGAGAATCCAAACAAATTCTAAGCAGAGTTGTGAATGGTTCCCTCCACACGAAGGAACCGGCCGGATCGTCGTGTTTTCAAAATTGTTTAGCTATGCATGAGAGTTAGTGGAGCGCATTCGGAAGGGTGATGATAATTTATACTTGTCTGATCCTATTTATTAGGCAGAAAAAAAAATTTCAATCTTATTTATAAGTCACTCAAATGAATTTTTAATGTGAATGTATTATTTTCTTTTTTATTTATTATAATGTAGATTTTTTGGGAAAGAATTATATATTAAATAGAGATAAAGTTAAAATATTGTTATATTTTAAAGAAAAATTAATACAATTTAAATTTTTTTTTGTCTGTGTAAAATATGTTGAAATTACCTATTTAATAGGACCATAAATTAACATTTTAAGCTGTTTTATGTCATTTTTACATTTCAAGTCATTTCGCTTGAGTCTTGATTATTTGCGACGTTGTTCCAAACCTTATCTATCGTCCAACCTAGTGAAACCTAGTCAACTATTATTTGACATAATCATTCACATAGCAAAATAAAGATTCATATATAATATCACTGCAAGAATTTCTATTATACTATCATGTTCCTTAGTATAAAAACTAGTTTAACTTTTAATTTAGCTCTAAATATAAGCTCTTGATCCAATTTGTCTCATATTTATCTATTTTTTAAAAAAAATTCTTATAATAGTTGTACATATTAAAAATTACTAGTTAATACACATAATTAGTAAGGATATTCTAATAAAGATAATACATATTTATTATAAATAACCAACTTAAAAAACTTTCTTAATTTACTCAAATTAGTCAACTTGTCTTATATTAAGGACCGGAGGTAGTACATTCATGTCATTTGTTTGGTATAAAATATTTAAAGCCTAATAATTTATACATGATAAATGCACGGCAAGCTATAAACTAAAATATTAAAAAAAAATACAACCTCTCATCCTTAATTAATATAAGATCTACTTAACTAATTTGGATAAATTAAAAAAATGACAATACTTACATCAAGTTTCTTATGTCCATTATATCAAGTTTTCTAATCACACATGATCATGTGTCATATATTTTTTTAAAATATTAGTATTTAATAGTGTTTAATTATAAACAAAAAAGGACACATAGTCATATGTGATTGGAGAACTTGACATAATGAATATAAGAAATTTGACTTAAGTTTTTTTTCTAAAGAAATTAGTTAAACAAATTATTTGTAAAAAATGGGTTTCTTTTAGTTAAATTATCCATATCACATTATAAAATGACAAGTATTACATACTCTTCGGTCTTGTCATTTAATTTAGTTACGTTTTTTAAGTCTTCTACATTCTCAAATACTAATTCATAATTACAGACGTTCTAACTTACATACTTCAGAAAGCACGATGTACATGCGCGCGCGCGCACACAGATATAGAGAGAGAGAGAGAGGGTTTCCATGCCTATGTTTCACTTGAGCTATGTCAGTCAAGTACATTATTCATCAAGCGTATAACTATATTTCTGGTACTTAGTTTGGATGAGAAGAAAATTAGAGAAAAGTTTTTATTCGAAGTATTCCCTCCCCCTCTATATTTTCCTTCTATTTATTTTTTTTGTCATCCGAACAGAGTCATAGAATCTCTACTGTTTAGTACAATCGACCGGAGCAAAAGAAACTTTTTTCTGATCAAGATCATGCTCCACCTCAAAGTCAATCTGAGCCACATTTCCATAAAAGGGCCTTCCATCTGTAGAAAGCATTGCAAAGCATATAACATCGTTGGATATGGGACGGAAAAGGTTTTGAGGTTTTAAGGAAAGGTTGGCTCCTGTAAAATGAACCTCAAAATTTGGGAAATTCTGGATGGAGTTAGCATTTCTGTAACACAATTTGTACGGATAGTTCTGTACTATGAATTGGTCGGCTCCAATGGCTTGCTTCACCAAAGCTTCAACCTGCTCATAAAAGCCTGATGGAAGCATTGTCAATGTCGTCCCAGAATCAATAATTATGTTCCCATTGCTTTGACCTGTCCGCACTGTCCGTTGTCCAACGGTGATACCTGTCAATGATCATTTTACTTGGATAATTCAGACCGCAAAATAAAGATTCATATATAATATCAGTACAACGTTTAGTACAAAATATTTAAAACTCAAAGTGCTGAATTCTCCCCCTTTATTATAGTATTTCAAGAATCATTTGAGCTCCTAAGTTCAAAACTTTAAAACGAAAATACACAAGAGTAACATTAATCTCAAAGTAAAACAAATATATACCTTCAAGATTGAGATAGTAAGAGGTGGGATCACCAGGATTCGTGATCATGGGAGTGGACACGACCCCATTTGCTGATATCTTGGCTTCTTCTCCAAATCTCAACTTAGTCGCAACCTTTGCGTCGAAAGGAGGCAAACAGTAGGAAAATCTGCGACCAATCTGCTTACCAAGTTGAGAAATAAGGGACAAAGGACCATTACCCAGTCCAACAAGTCCTGCCATGCGCCTATTGAATGTCCCAAGATTGTTATGTCCACATCCAAACACTGATTTAGGGAACGAAACAGATTGGCCATCACTACTACCAAAACCGATCAAATCTGTGGCCAAATCTCCCACCGTGAAAGATTGATCTACATATGCGTAACGGTACAAACACTGGTTTGAGTTTCCACATTGACGCTGAGGAAGAAGAGCACAGTTTCTTGAGCCGCAAGACTCAGTCTCGTAGGTGGAAGATTTTGTGGGATCAAACAATGAGACATCTTGATGGTAGCATTGAGGACAAGGTGAGCATTGGATCCAAATCAGGTCACTTCCTGTATCTGCAACACTCCACCTTTCTACAGGTGGGCTGCCAATGAAGATCTTCATAAGATAGCTTCCATCGTCCGGGATTATATCAGTTTGAGCCAGCTGCTCGCTTATTTCAGCTGCATTTTTGGAAGAAGATTGGCGAAAACGATTGACTCGAGCCAAGGAACGCAATGCAGCATTTTGAACTCGCTCCCAATGGGTCATTGACGAGTTGTACAAAGGTGACAATGGCGAGTCACGATGAATGAGATCGATGCTGAAACCTTTTGGGAGCTTATTTGTTGCAGTGACATTGCACAAAGTTGAAAGATACAAGAGGACAAGGCCCAGGAAGAGTGAAAGGTTATGCATATTTGAAGAAGAGTAATGGTGGAGAAACACAAAGGAGAACTGATGGGTGAAGAAGGAGATGCTGAGGTGATTATATTTACAGACAAGTTTGCGTGATCTTTGGGTTACATATTACGCCCTTCCTTCTACAAACCGAAAAAAGAAATATATAAATAATTATGCTGACTGTGATTATGAGAATATTCAAGTCAATGACAGGAACTCCTGAATGAGCGCCCGTGATTATGGAGCTCTCATTTTTATATTTTTCAGGTTTCATATCCAAATCCAAGCCTAATACTTTTCTGCAGAAATAAAGCAAGTTGGGCTGTGACTTGTTAATAATTAGTGTTTGTCGATGGAGTTCTCTTTGTTTTCTTTTTGCTCAACATGTTTTGCAGATTGCGTACACAGTTGTTAGATATAGGACTAAGCGATAGATATAAGTATAGAGAGATATATAGAGAGAGAGATGAGTGAGGAAGGAGCTTGTAAAAAATATGCGTGCAAATGTAGGATTTGCTCAAATTGTTTTTGTTGTTTTCATCGTTTAGTTTTTACGTAAAACGAGTGGCATTTTAATATTTTGTTAATAAAAAATAACATTTCTTTTAAAAAATCGTTAAAAATTTAAAACTATATCAATTTTTGTTATCTATAAGATACTAAAATATCACTCATCTTGTGCAGGAAAAAATTAAAGGGATACGCAACAAGTTGCGCTAGACACCCTAAATCGAAGTATAAGCAGGTGTGAACAAGAATGATGGATGGTGCAAAACATTTTCTAGAAACTTGACTTGCCAGTCCTTCCAATGCTTAATTTTGTAGAATGATGGATCGTGTAAAACACTTTGGGAAACTTTGTGTTTCTTTATCTCACATGTCTGCATCTTACACTTTTGACCAATGTTTTAAAAGCCGGACCAGAAATTGAACTGGAAAGAAGAGCGGTTCACGGCTCTCATGGTTCAACCAGTTGGATCGACAGTTGAACCGGAACATAATAATTAAATAAAAATAATATTATACTTCCTTAAATCTTATATATAAGAAATTTTTGTGGGGATGAAGGTCCATGCCACATTAACAGTAATACCGTATTTGAAATTTTTTATATATATTTTTATTTTTGTTTCTATTAATTATTGGTATGCTCACCTTATCCCTTAAATAAGAATGATTTTAGAGGATAAATTACATATTTTATATATTTTAATCATATAATAATCATTAGTAATTACAATATTATAACGTAAATATTTTTTATAGCCTTTTTAATGTATAGTATAGTAAATCTTTGACTTTTGCAATTTGTACCAGTAGATATAACTTTATCTCACAATTAATTTAATTTTTTCCCTTGAAAAATAACGTTAAAAAAGGTTTAACTAATACTCATTTATAGCACACGTCATCCTTGGTAAATCTAGCTTTGCTTGTTGGCGCCAAAACCCAAAAAAAAAAAAAAAAACTGCCCCTGCGTATACGAAACACGCTTCTCTATCTCAACTCCCGAGGTTTTATTTTCTTTTCTCCCCTACTTCATTCCATTACTTGCACGTCGTCTTCTTTTCTTCATTGTAGATTAGGAAGGTTTTATTTACAGTCCAGATTTGCAAATCGTCGGGCATCCAAGATGAGCTTCTTATCTTCTTCTAGCCTCGCAACCGTCTCCATGGCTATTCTTGAAAAACCCGTTTTGACTACTATGAGTAGTTTCCAATGCTTGATTTCACACCACTGGTCCCACAACGCAATTCGAGGGTTGGTACGGTATAGTTGATTAATGAGCAGTGAAAATTCTGAACTTTGCTTTCATTTCCCACTTAAAAGACAAATAACGGAAATCGGTCACAGATCGATTGGTTGAAAAATGTTCTAATTTAGAAGAAGTTGTAAATGAAAAATATTGAATAATTTGTAAATAATAAAAGATGAGTAGTAAATTATTGACTAAAAAATCAGTTAATATATGATGAGAAGTTGATTCATAAATTCCACAAATTAATTTAGTTATAAATTGAGTTAACAGGAGAAAAATAGGTTTTGATTTAAATATTGTTTTACATCTCATCTGTCACGATTCACTTCAGTTTAATTAATTGGTATTTACAACTGATAATCTTCCCTTGATAAAAGAGAAAAAAACTGATGATCATCTTCCAAGATTTATAATTATACTTTGTTTTAGTAAAACATTTTGTTTATCATTTTTTTTTCTTTTCATTTTTCTTTTGGTGGCATGTTTATCTAGTTTTTTCTTTTTAAAACATTATGCAACTTGAAACTAATCATCCGGCTAATTGGAGAAATTTATTTATAGTTATCTTCATTATGTAATCTTCTGAGTTTCTTTTTTTAAATTTCAATCTATAATTCTCTGCTGCTTTATTCATTTCGCTCATCTGCATCTGGACTCTATATATATATATATAGAGAGAGAGACTTATATCGCTAATTGCACTTTTTTTCCCAATTATCCCCAATCAAACTAATCCACGTTAAGTGTCCGAAACCTATTTAATGATATTATAGCCATTTTATTCAACAGGGAATACTATACAAGTTAAGAGTTTTTTTTTTCTTTAACGAGTTATATAAGAATTGTTAAAAAAATGTATCATAATATAAAATAAATTTTGAGTTGATTCCCAAGTCAATCATCTTAAAGCCTAAGTAATTTTTTAGTTTTGACTCCCAAGTCAATCATCTTAAAGCCTAAGTAATTTTTTAGTTTTGACTCCCAAGTCAATCATCTTAAAGCCTAAGTAATTTTTTTATTTTTGACCAAAAAAAGCCAAAGTAATGACTAACGACCAATCTATTCCAAGTCAAGTCAATCAATGCGGCCAAGGAAATCTTATTTTTTTAAATAAATAAATATATCTGCGTTATGCCTAAGGCATTGTAAAAAGTAAAAAAAAGACCATGAAAATTGCAAAATCACAAGTCAGGGCCTGTTACAAGTCTTGTATAGGTTTTGACGACAATGTAACAGCAAATGACAACAAATATCTGACAAAATACCTTATTTCCACTTTCACAATTTCTACAGTATTTTTTGTGATTTTTCCTTGTAAAAATCTTCTTACATGATTCCACTTATAATTCTAATAACAATTAAAATGTTAGCTAAAATATACTTTTGGTTTTTTAACTTTATATAAGGTTTTAATTTAGTTTTTTAATTTTAAAAAGTATATTTTTAGTCCTTTAATTTTAAAACTGTTAACAAAAAAATAATAATATTGAGATCTTAAATATTAATAAAAAATTTTAAATATTAAAATATTAAGTTTAATTCTCAAAACAATCATGATTGTTACAAAAAAAAGAGTTAAAACTGATAATTTTAAGATTAAAGGACCAAAAATATACTTTTTAAAATTAAGAGACCAAACTAAAACTTTTTATAAAGTTGAGAAATGAAATATACACCTTAGGGAATACTTAGGGTATACGCAACGCACGTTTTCAGGGTTAAGTTCATTATTAATTTTGTTTCTTCTTCTCAAACTGCTAGACTCCTTGAAAGAAAATCTTTGTAATAAAATATGAAACTCAATTTATAGTGTAAATTACACCACAAAATGGATCTTATATTTAGAACCGGATGAATATAAAAATGAAATCTTTGTTATGTCATTTTCCATTTCAAATCATTTCACTTGTCTTGTGCGACTTCGTCATTCCAAAGCTTATGTATTAATCTTCCACAAATCTCAGTGGCCCATAATTTGTTGGATGGCATTCCAACCACGGAGGCTTGATTTCTCTCTTTAAATTTTGTATTGAGTGTTGACTAAAGACTAATCAAAATATGTAGATAAGGACCGATTGAGTTGGATTTAATGGAAAGAACTAATCCCTTATAATATAGCGAATTATTGTTCGAATCAACGCTAAGAGAGATGCTTACATTTAGTGCATGACAATGCTTTGAACAGAATTATGTCTAATAAGATGATGCACATGTGCCTAACAACAAAAAAAACAAAAGGGAAGAATATAATGAGAATGTGGCTAAAACGTATTGGTGTTTTCTTAAAGATATTGATTTTTCTAAATTATTTACAATAATCCCTTAAAACAATATCGTTTATTGAATTGATATAAAATGTTTTCCTTAAAAATAATTTGTATTTAGATAATATTAATTTTCCGTAACAATTTTTTCTAAATGATTTACAATCCCTTCAAGACTTCACAAAAAGTCTAAATTATTATGTTAATAATAATTTGTTCTTTAAATTAGATGCTTTGATTGTATTGCTGTCTAAAATTAGTGGGATTTGCAACACCTCACTTTTATATACTAATAGGATCATTTTAACGTCTGTGAATCACTAACGCAAGGTTTCCGTCCTGGGAAAAGACAGGGAAATTTTTTTTTTATCTTTCCTTTAACATCAGAATCCGTTGATCAAATATTTCAAAGCTTTAGATAACTGATGAGTGATCCAATATCAACCCTGCTTTCAACTTAATCTATTATCATCTAAAATAATTTCATACTATACAATCTTATAATATTATATTAAAAATAAAGCAACGCTCTTGGTTGACAGCATATACGTGCACCTGGCAATGCTCACCTCCTTCTTCTAAAGGATACAAAATAATATTTCCATAAAGCAAGTAAAGTTACTTGCCCGAATATTTTACTATACAATTTACAGAATTATAACAGGTATCTCTGCTCTTCAATCAGCCCACCTTCTTCTTAAATAACCTCCTTGTCCTTCTAGCTACTAGCCTTCACTGTTCATCATAAATTGGGGGTGAGATTCCGAAGAATCCCCGTAGTAGTAATTTCCATCAAACAAATGTGCAGATCACGTAAAGCATGCAAAACAAGCCAAAGTGGAACATAACCTTGCAAGCTAATGCAATTAAGCATTTATGCGCAATGACAGATAGACAAGCTGATTAAATAATGCGCAAATAATTGGCAATCACTGCCGCGCAAATAATTGGCAATCACTGCCCCATATCTATTAGACAAGCTGAATAAATAA